TCCACGCCACGGCTTGAGGACGCTGACGTGGAAAACATCATGGATCCTGGCACCATCAGGCAGCTGAAGACGATAGGCCATGGCACCAATCCGCTCCTGGACTTGGTACGGCCCAGCGAAACGTGGGCTCAGCTTGGAACGCTTGCCCGGCACCAGGGACTGTGCAGGGCGGTGGAGCAGCCGGAGTAGCACCCAATCGCCCACGGCAAACTCCATGGCGCGATGATGACCATCATAGTGACGCTTAGCATACTCCTGAGCCTGTAGGAGGCGTTCACGCACATCCTGCAAAAACGAGTCCCGATCCCGAAGAAGAGTGTCCACTGTCTCTGTCGAGGCCGAGCCTTCTGTGTATGGCAGTAGAGCATGTGGAGGCCGGCCGAAAACCACTTCAAAAGGCGTCGTCTTGAGCGCCGAATGATAGGACGTATTGTAACAATACTCTGCCCAAGGAAGCCACTCCAACCACGCACGAGGCCGATCTCCTGTAATGCAACGTAAATACATAGCTATGGTCTTGTTGACAATCTCCGATTGGCCGTCGGTTTGTGGATGAAATGTTGTGCTCATGCGAAGCTGCACCCCGCCGCGCTTGAAGAGGTCTTTCCACACATTGCCCGTGAAGACCGGGTCCCGATCACTCACGATCGAGCGAGGGAACCCATGTAGCCGAACGATGGCCTTGAAGAACGCCTTGGCAACTGATGCTGCAGTGTACGGGTGGCTGAGCGCAATGAAGTGCGCATGCTTCGAGAAACGGTCCACCACTGTGAGAACCATGCTCTTTCCATGGACGCGAGGCAGCCCCTCCACGAAATCCATAGCAATGTCCGACCAAACCGAAGAGGGTACCTCTAATGGTTGCAACAGTCTGGCGGGGTGGAGGGACTCAATTTTGTTGCGCTGGCACACAGCACAGGCACGCACAAAGTCCTCCACCAGCCGGCGATCCTGGTCGATGAGGAAGTGTTGACGGAGGCGCTGCAGGGTCTTTTGTATGCCTTCATGCCCAACCGAGTGGGAGAGCTCGATCACCGTAGGTACTAATGGGGACGTCGCAGGCACAAAGACTTGGGTGCCCCGGAGCACCAAGCCGTCCACCAGTCACCACGGATCGCCGCGGTCAGCGACCACTGTGTCGCGGAACGCACGGAGGTTGGGGTCGTCCTGGAGCTCTTGTCGGAGCACGTCGTAGAGCTGAAACGACGGACCACTGAGCGCGCCCAGAACTGCGTCGGGCGTCACGGGCGGCCACTTCGTCACCGCGACGGGATAGCGCGTCGGCGACAGTGTTGAGGCGCCCCGGCCTGTACTCCACGGTGAAATCAAAACCGAAAAGCTTGCTTACCCACTGATGTTGCGGCACCGTGGACAGCCGTTGATCGAGCAAAAACTTAAGGGCGAAGTGGTCGGTGCGGACGGTGAAGTGGCGCCCCCACAGATATGGGCGCCAGTGACGCACGGCTTAGACCAAGCCGATGAGTTCCCGCTCATAAGAGGCAAGCTTCATGTGCCGTGCGGCGAAGGGCCGGCTGAAAAACGCGAGCGCGCCATTTCCTTGATGTAGGACCGCGCCAAACCCGGAGCCCGAGGCATCGCAATCCACCAAGAACGGTTGATCAAATGCCGGTAACTGCAGAACGGGCGCCGGCGATAGCGCCTGCTTGAGGGCGACGAAAGCAGCAGTAGCCTCCTCAGTCCATGTGAACCCATCGTTCTTCAGCAGCTTGGTGAGAGGAGCAGCCACGGCGGCGTACCCTTGGATGAAACGGCGGTAATAACCTGCTAACCCTAGGAACCCGCGTAGGCCGTGAGGTGCGCGAGGCTGTGGCCAGGATGTGACGGCCGCCACCTTGTCTTGATCCATGGTGACTCCGGCTGCTGAGATGACATGGCCGAGATAGGCCACCGTCGGTTGAGCGAAGGAGCACTTAGAAAGCTTAAGCCGGAGTTGATTAGCCCGAAGCGCTCAGAGGACTGCATTGAGATGCTGCAGGTGCGAGGACCAATTGGGGCTGTATATAAGTATATCATCAAAGAACACGAGTACAAACTTGCGGAGGAACGACTGAAGGACTGAGTTCATCAAGCTCTAAAAGGTGGCCGGTGCGTTTGTCAAGCCGAAAGGCATAACCAGAAACTCGAAGTGGCCCTCATGAGTGCGGAACGCTGTCTTCTCAATGTCATCGACGTGCATACGCACTTGGTGATACCCCGAGCGGAGATCGAGCTTCGTGAAATAGCGAGAGCCCTTGAGTTCATCGAGCAGCTCCTCGACCATAGGGATGGGAAATTTATCCTTGACTGTCTGTTGGTTGAGTGCACGGTAATCAACACAGAACCGCCATGACCCATCATGCTTCTTCACCAAGAGTACCGGAGCCGAGAACGCCGACGTGCTGGCCCGGATGACGCCCTGTTGCAACATGGCTGCACATTGAGCCTCCAATTTGTCCTTCTGTAGCTGCGGGTACCTGTAGGGGCGCACTGCTACCAGAGCCGTGGTAGGCAGCAAATGTATTCGGTGATCACACGGTCGCGCCGGTGGCAGTCCTTGTGGTGCAGCAAAGACATCCTCGTAGGAGGCCAGCAAGGTGTCCAGAAGCGGCTTGGCAGCGTCCATAGCGTAGAGTTGAGTGGACTGGACGTCATACCTTGGCGAACCAATGCCCCGCCAGAAAACACGGTGCCCTCCACGGGTGAATGCCATGCACAAGTCATCAAAATCCCATAAGACCGGTCCCAATGTCCGCAAGAAGGTGATTCCAAGGACCATGTCCCATCTGTCGAGCGGAATCGTGTAGCAATCCACGGCGAATGCCTCGTCCGCGATGCGAATGCCCACGTCCCGGGCCATACCACGGCAGTCCAAGCGGTCTCCATTCGCAACTGTGACGCCCGCGCCCGGGCACGGCTGGAAGCGGATACCGGCCCGGCGCGCCACCACCGCGCTACTGATGAAATTATGGGTGGATCCTAAGTCCACCCACGCTATGCACTGCTCACCACCGACTTGCATGTAGACCTGCATTGTGGTGGCAGTTGGAATGCCCGCGATAGCCGCCAAGGAGATGGTGGGCTGTGCTGGTGCAGCGGCGGCGTTAGGCTCCTCGTCCTCAGAATCCGAATCAGGCTCCTCCACAATGTAGTCAGCGGCCTCCAGGTAGAATAGGCGAGCACACTTGTGCCCTTGGACGTATGGTTCGTCACAGTTATAACACAAGCCCTGTTTCCGGCGTTCTGCCATCTCCGTGGGCGTCAAGTAACGGAAGGGGCGGCTTGAAGACTGGCCGGTAGGCGTGGACGATGATGATGAGCTCCCAATCTGTCCTGGTGAGGTGCGGCGCGAAGGACGCTGAGGCGCGGCTGGTAGCGCAGGTGCCTTGGCGGCGTTTCAGCGCTCAAAGGCCCGGGCCAACCACATTGCACGGTGAAGATCTACAGGCTCATGGAGTTCCACATCCACCCGGATGTGTTCTGGTAGTCCACCGGTGAAGAGCTGGGCCTGCTGGAGTAGATCTAATCGACTTGCGTGTGCCAGGCGGGCCTGGAACGCCGACATGTAGGCGTCCACCGTGGACGTAAACGGTAGTCGGGTGAGGTCGGCCAGATGGTTGGTCGACAAAGCCGGACCGAAGCGCTGGTGGCATAGAAGCCTAAGGTTGGCCCACGATGGTCGTCCCGTGTCGCGTTCGAGGATGTAATACCACTGTTGAGCATCCCCGATCATGTGGAACGAGGCCAACCAAACCTTGTCGACCTCCTGGTGAGCTGGCCATGAAAAAAGGATTCACACCGGTTGAGCCAGCCTAGGGGGTCCTCTTTGCCGTCATAGAGCGGGAACGAGAGCTTGTGGAACTTGGGAACGCCATAGCCTTCATTGTGATAGTCCAGGTGGGGCAGCGACTGGGATCGGTGGGTGCGTTCATGGTGCACCACCATTGAAGACGTCGTGACTGCGGTCCCCATGATAGATGAAAATGTAGGCAGCGGGGAGGGCGAGTGCGGGAAGGGGATGCTCTGGATCGGCAGCCCAGTCAACGGAGGTGGCGGGGTGGAGCCGAGGGATGAATGTGCGGCCGAGTCTGCGGCCGGCTGTGATGACGAAGAACCTGCTGCTGTCGCCGCCGATGCCGGAAGGGAGGGCGTGGGCATGATCTCCGAGATGACCGGCCCGGACGCCGGCAGTGCCGGGATGCCCCCATACCCCGGCATGCCATAGGGCAGGGCCTGTGGTGCAGAGTAGGGAAGACCCACGAACGGTGCCGCGACGCCTTCGACGGACGAGAGCCGGAGCGACATCTCCCCCATCCGGCGCTGCATGCTATTGAGCAGTGTGGTGAGTTGGTGCTGCCCGTGCATGAGGATCGCAAGGGACTCCTCCATGGTCGGCTGCAAGGTAGCAGGACTCTCGGACGATGACACTGATGCCTTCGTGGCCGCCGGGGTCAACGTGCCCGTGGACGGACCCGGCGGTGGTGGTGCAGCTGTGGACGGCACCGCGATGGAAGCGGAAGCACCCGAGATCGACATGGACGCTGATACCAGATTGTTAGAGATAGCGCTCCTGAGGTTGTACTGGTGATGGACTAGGGGCCTGGGCTTGAACACGCGACGACGAACGGGTGGCGCCGTGCTCGGCGCCTAGGGTTGCGGTTAGCGACAACAAGATGACGGTGAATAGGAAGTAAGGGGCCAGGTGCCCAAGGGAGACGTAAGTCTCAATCCCAGGCTGAATCGTATTAGAAGCAAACTGTTTAACTTATACAAGACTCAATAACCAACTTCCTAATCTTTAGGGAATAAACTAACTGACTCTAGATATGCTAACAACTTAGCCCAGCCGGCTCCTTGGCGTGGCCTTAGCCACTTGCCTTGTCGCCTGACTTATCCCGCCGATGGTACACCTTGCCCACCATAACATAAGCTGCTACTGATATCAGGCCCACATGGAAATTCTTTACATGCCCCTCCTGTCACTTCGGACATTCCTTGTGCAGATGTTGATGGGCTTGTAGATAAAAAAGGTGGACCAGAAGATATGTATGAACTTGCTGGAGAAGCTGACATAATCATAACATGCTTGCTACAAACCAATGAAACAGTTAGTTCTTCTCTTGGTTTATTTCTTTCCCTCTTCTATACAGACAGCCTTTATTTTCCTCTAGTTACAAAGCAAGCATATTTGTAGGTTGGAATTGTTGATGATATGTTCCTCTCAGCGATGAAAAAGGTATGTGCATTTCATTCTGATAGTGACTTAAATTTTATTCACAAGAAGGTTCTGTTACTAAAAGTTTTCCTGTTATATTAATACTGAATAATTAAATGTCAGTGGTGTCTTCACATACGTAGGGTTCGTGTCTGGTCAATATTGCTAGAGGAGGACTTTTGGACTACAAGGCTGTGTTCGATCACCTTGAGTCAGGTCACTTAGGTGGTTTGGGTATTGATGTTGCCTGGACAGAGCCATTTGATCCAGAGGACCCCATTCTCAAATTCTCAAATGTTATTATAACACCACATGTTGCTGGAGTCACCGAATACTCCTTCAGAACTATGGCAAAGGTTTGTGCTTGTTTTCTATGTCTTGTGGTTATTTTTCATTATCATGCACTTCTTGCTATCTGCTAATATAATAATTCCTTTGTAGTAAGTACTAAGTACTTGTTATGTACCACATCTAAATAACAAGACTGCTCAACTGGATCTGTTAACATTACTGTATTTATTAGATGATATATACTCCCTCCATATCGTATTTAGGTGTCGTTCTGGAGGCCAGGCCGGTTGCGGCAAAAGAAGTCGTTCACGATAACGAGGGCGATTTTGGACGCGATTACCCCTGGCTAGGCACGCGCGCCGCCCGTTCGCATGATCTCCTCGTCATTAATCGCAGACTCCTCGATTGAAGAGATCGCCTCAGCACGCAGCGCCCACAGCACGCTCGCCGCCTGTCCGCACGCCTACTTCATCTCCCTCACGCTCGCCTGTGGATTCCGGCGGCTAGGGTTTAGTACTGTTTGGTTCGTTTCGTCTCTATGGAGACCGGCGGCGCGCGGGTGCTGGTCGCCGCGGACGGCGTCGGGCCGGAGTCGGAGGTGCTCGCAGCAGAGGACATCGGGCCGGAGTCGGAGGAGGTCGCCGCGGAGGACGTCATCGACCCGCTGCTGTCCGTCGCGCTGGATTCGCAGGAGCCGGACGAGGTCATCGTGCTACTCGCCGCGGACGGCGTCGTGCCGGATTCACAGGAGGTCACCGCGGACGGCGTGGCGCTGGACTCGCAGGAGCCGGATGAGGGCAACGTGCTGGTCCCCGCGGACGGCGTGGCGCTGGACTCGCAGGAGCCGGATGAGGTGGTGCCGGAGTCGCAGATGCCGCCGGACTCCATCACGCCGGAGTTGCTGGACTCCATGGAGGTGGTGCCGGATTCCTTGCCGCCGGGGCGTTTGTATGCGGTCACTGTGGTCTCATCCATGAGGATCGCGAAGCATGGAACCGTGCGCACTCGCGGTTCTATCCATGCCCTAGCTGTGGTCTCGTCCACGCGGACTACTCCATCGACGCCATGGTCGGCCGCATCAAGGTGGACTGCGAGCTTTTCATGGAGCATTACAAGGGCTTGCTGCCGACAAAGGACGACGCCAAAGCACCGGTAAGAAGCATGTTCTAGATAAATAATGCTAAACTGTTACAAGAATGCCTCTACTACTAATTATAGCATCAATCAAATTGTTTCATGCAGCAAGAATGTCTACTAATTATAGCATCAATCTAATTTTTTCATGCAGCAACAGTAGCCTCGGCTTCATATAGCAATGATGGATCACAAGGGATACAAGATGGCAGCCGATCTTTCACTTTCATAGCTTCCATCAAGACACCTTGTAGTGTTAGAAACATCCGGTTTGCAAGGCGTGGCGAGTACTCCAAAAATGCCTACAAAACAATTGTGCAAGAAATGAATGAATGAGCAAATTTGTTGTTGAAAAAGACATTGAAATATGTGTGAACAATTTGATCAAATTACGTGTTGCATGGTTGGAACAAGTGCTTCTATTGTTTTTGCATTCTTCTTATATTGAATTGCTTGTATAGCTCGAAAAAAACACAAGTCAAGAATGTTGAAATCCGGAGAGTTTGGTGGTTGACAAATTAGGCGAATATCGAATCCTCCTAGCTTAGCGGCCTCACAAAAATCCAGATCATCCAATTTCAAATGAGAGGGTGCATTATCCTGTTGGATGAATATTGGTTTACCCACATATTCTCTTGGCCATTTCGCTCTAATGGCTGGCAACACTTTGATCATGAAATCTCTAATCACGTCTCTTGTGATCGATGTAATGGGCTTCATAACCAAGTCTCCACGGACACGGCCGGTTCTCTCATTGCCTCTCATAGCCGGTTCATAACGAACAAGAGGAAAACATCCAATCCTACCATCAAAAATACAAATTCCAATCCCTAAACCTTGGCCGAGCGCAAACACACAAGAACATGAGCCTAGGGATGTAGTTCTTGTTCTTACAAGTCCGATGGGGTTCATCTTCTTCGGGTAGCAAATAATATCTTTCAGATTTTTTTACATAGGTAGAACCATTTCTCATCAATGAACACAAAGTCATACGACTCCTTAAACCTTGGATCATCAAGCAGCTCCCTATTAACCATGTCAACACACCATTGTAACCTAGACCTCTTGTTAGCTTCAGTGAGATATGGCTTGATGCTACTAGAGTGGCGCCTAAGGTAACCTTTTTTCAAATACCTTTGAATCTGCCATTTGCTCATATTTAGTGCGGTGCACACATCATGTATAGTCATTCTTTGCTTTAGAGGAATGTTTCTCAATGCTTCTAAATCAACAGGGATGTGCTTACGGCCTACTCTACCCTTCAGATATTTATTTTGAATGTGGAAACTCCAAGGGGCTTGTTACAAAGACAATGTTGTCTGTTTCTGTGGCCATTTCCATCTTGTAGTCAGTTTTTCTCTTCCTTGTGGTGCAGGTTGTTGGTGACGTCGCTCTCCAGCTTCATTCAGGGGAGACATTCACCGGAATAGAATTTGTGAATTAGATCAGATGGTGGCAGGCGTTAGTGTTTATTCCCTGTTGAATTCAGACAGGTAACAATAATTGTTTGTGTGTGTGATGAGCATCTTGCCATGTCCAAAGGAATAATGAACTGGCAATGGCTGTAAGAGCTGTTGCTCTCCTCAGATTGAATTTGAATCAAGCAAGATTACTACACACTGCAGCAGGCCTATCAATACAGCTTGGAAGCTAGTAAAACAGCTTCTCAGTAAGAGCAGTTGAAGCCTTTTTTTTTTTTTTGAAACGAGAGCAGTTGAAGCCTTGGGCTATGCTAACCCTTCTTTTTTTTTTTTGAACATATGCTAACCTTTCTTTACACCGTAGCCGCAGCCGCCGAGTGTGAAAGAAAGTTACGAGTTGTGACGACGGGCCCATGGAAGAGTAATTTTGGTGTCACGATTCACGAAGCATCCAAAAAGAGGTTAGCAATACCTAGGGCCACAATTCAAGGCCACGGTAAATTGAAGCTCCGATGGTGTTGCTAGCCTTTTGAATTGTGGCCTCCTATGCCTACGGGCCCAAACTGCTTGGATGGATGGAGGCTCTGCCAGGTGGGCTCGTGTAGTCAACAGGCCGAGTTGATGTTGGACTGAGATGAGGCCCAGGTCTAGCCATCTATTACAAATCAATGGTCATAGCCGCGTGATGCCCCGCCCATTCGAATATTCAAATTTCCCGTCACGTCCGACCTCGAGGGCGCGGACTCTGCCTTGCCCGATCCCGAGAGCGCGGGCTCCGCCTCACCCGACCCCGAGGGCACAGGCTTCACCTCGCTTGACCCCTCGGGTGCACGCTTCGTCTCGCCCGACGGAGATCCGTACCGCCTCCAACCACGGCGGGTCTAAAAGTACGATTCTAGGGTCAAACTTCTGACGCCAGAAGGGGAGCAGGCGTGTCTTAACGTGACCCGTGGCCATGACGGGTCATGTCTGAGGATGCACGTCACCAACAGTATCGGGCATGACGGTGCTATGCTACCTACTTCCCGTACGACCTCTAGTGGAGGCGTCAGCTAGCCATATCGTTCGCTGGGACGGAATGGAGCGCCACGACCAGCTGACGACGCCCGCGTATGGCGTCAGTGACGAACAGGGCCGCGACGTGGAGCCGTCCCCGTCGTCATCTACAGGGCCGACGGGACCCACGTAAAGGAGATGGAAGACGTCGTAATCCCGAGAGCCTTCCTTTTCTCGTCTCTCTCTCTCTTTCTCTGTAATGTGACCTGCGTCTCCCCTTCATCTCTAAAAGGGGAAGCAGGGAAGCAGGGCGCCCCATGCGAAAAAAGAGGGGCGGTAGAGAGAGAGCTCAACCAGACTCACTCTTTGTCACACCCCAAAATTTCCGATTTTGGGTTGTGCATAGAAAATACTAATTAAAATGAATTATTTTAATATTTAGATAAAATTTACCAAGTTTAGTTTGAGCTAGCGCAAATTTAGTTATAAGAAAAATATGAATTTTCAAAATTTTCTAATTTTGACAGGCTTTTGGATGATGTGATGTTTGCTTGTTACTTCTTTGTGTGTTGAGAGTGAGTAAAGTCTTTAAAATGCATTAGTAGGTCGATTTTCCTTCTCCGGCACGTCTTTATCTTTTTCTACAATCAAATTCTTTGTTTCTCGGCTCAAGTTTTCGTTGGGAGCTTCCTAAAATCTTTTCTTTGTATTGCAAATCACTCTTTGCAGTTCCTCGTCCGTCAATCAATCTCTACAAAGTTCTCGGGAATTTTTTCAGCTTTTTCTGGAACTTGTTCCTACTTGTCTATGAGCATAATTTAATTTTTGGATGCTCCAAATTATCTTATCATGGGCTCCAAATACTTTATTTGGGTTCTTCATGTTCCATAATGTCTCTGGGAATTTTCCCCAAATTTTCAGAGCTTTCAGAGTATTTGTCGCGGCTTAAATAATAATTCTAGACCTTTCTGGAATTATTTTATCCACAAAATTAATTAATTCTGAAAAATAATAAATATCTCATTTTTTTCAACGCTCAAAGCCCATGTGCAATAATCCTAATAAATCCTAAAGGGCCATGTATTTATTTACTAATGGACTTTAATGATTATTTAGGTCCATTAGTAAATGTAGAGGGTGGAACATCAATTAATACCATATTGCTAGTTGATGTAGATGTTGGTAGTTTTTCTCCCTATATATATGTACCAACCCCTTGGACAGAGTACACCAAAACTATCGTAAGGAAAGCCCTTAGTTTGAAAAATTCCTCGTGTAGTAAATTAGATTTTTCTCCTCCTTCTCATGTTGTCGCCAGCCAACCTTGACGACGTCTCCGGCGAGAACCGTCGCCACAAGGTAGATCTCTCTCAACGCTAAAGTATCTTTCTTTTTATCAATCCATCAGTGGTTGACCGTGTCCCTTCTCTCTTTTCCGGTCACTTTTTTGGCAAACCTTCATGGAGCGGCATCGTTGAGTGACTTCTGGACATCCCGCGACCCTTCTCCTCAGCCAGCGTACCATTGTGCACTGCAATCGACCCTACCGCATCTTGGTCGAGTCTGGTCCTGCATGTGTGCAGCAGTCAGGCCATGGTCATGTGTGCAGCAGCTCTTGGTCAATCTCTCCAAATCCTTTTTCTTCTTTCTGTGACTCGTAACAGCACTATCGATGTTGCCTGTTCCTCATCACCTCTCTAGGTACACATACAGATTCTGTACGTATGTCTTGCCGTGACCTTCAGGCAACGGACGACCTGAGCTCCTGCCGTATGTGCACATGGGCGGGCCTGGTGTTGTGCCCGAGTATTCCCGGGCATACCCAACGTTTTTGCTGCAAAAAAACTAGTATATATATGCACGATATAGTTAAGCTTTAGTATCGTAGTTCTCTTTGTCTTGTTCATCCAAAAATAACCCATGAAACCACGTTGCAGCCCATTACCTATCTGCTCACCCGGCCATCAAGGCTGATTTTAGTCCATTCTCCTCCCTTGGTCAAGAAACTCGTGAGGCAAAGTGCAAGAGCCGCGGGCCCGATGGATGCTCCCGCGAGACGAAATCCTAGCGCATGCCTAGCAAAGACGTTGGCCACGCCGCCCGGCAACCTTAAAATAATCCGAGTGTGGTGTCACCCTAAAACGCACAGTGTTGTAGCTGATCTACCACTATTGTGGCTCGAGCACTCGGCAAGCAGGCAGGTGTAGTTCAACCGCAGGTCGCCTCACACCCCGCTAGATACCAGCGGCTAGGATGGCATGTTGGTCGCCATCACAGACGCACACCACTAGAGCCGTCTGGAAGCACAGACAGATCTTGCTTCGGTATCTTTCTTAACCAAATTTAGAGGCAACAACTCAAGTTCTCCTTTGATCTTTGCTCAATTTATAATATATTTTCTTTAGTTTGGGGCTTGGGCATACCCAACATTGATATCCTGGGTCCGCCACTGTATGTGCAGCTCGGCCTATGTAGCAGGCCGCTGATGCCCGCTCCTGCAGCTGGATGCTGAGCACCAATCATATCGTCGCGCGCGCCGCTTGCATGGACGGAGAACTAGTAGACATGGGGATCTTCAACGAGACGAACCCTGAATCCCTGTTTGAGCTGTGCTGCCATCTTCTGATCCTGCCCCTGCCGAGCCTGCCATGGTCGTCGTCCTGTTTCTATTGCGCATGTTCGAGTTCTTCTCCGTTTATTCTACGTCCTAACAGCGGCGTTGACGTGTTACATACTTACATGCTAGTGATTTATAAACTAAATATTAATTTAATTAATATACATGCAACTAGTTTATTAATTAAAAGTAATCAAGGATTGTCATGTCGGCCTTTTATAAATGAATATTAGATTGATTAATATCAACTTAAATATGTTTTGATTATAATTTGTTAGGCTCAAACACAATCATATAAAAACTTGTTTAGATGCTCTCATATCCTTTTCTTTTTGTAAAGTAAAAGTTTAACTTGATTAAATTATATGGCATTGTTTATAAATAAAATATGAGTAGTTTCAACTCGAGTTTTAAATTAAGTTATGTTTTGACTAATCTGCTCTTAATAATTTTTACATGGTTTTACTCAATTAAAATAAAAGAAGCATGTAGGGTTTTCTTTTCTTTTTATAATATATATAAAACTCTCGATAGTCATTTCTTTTTAACGATAGTTTCGTTATCGGTGTTTCTTGTGATCTTGTGACTGTAGAATTAGCTCTCTTTTAGTACGTTATTTTATCTTGAGTGGTGCACTATTCTTAGTTGCTGCTTGTATGTTTGCCTATGTGTGGTGCTTGCTATGAGTAGAACGAGAACCGCTTGTGAGTGCTGAAGATCAGAAGCTGATGATGACCAGAAGCAAAGTACGAGGAAGTTTGAGCAAGTGTTAAGGCAAGTATAGCATGGGATCTTTCTTATTGTCCTATAAACCTTTAATCATTTAATTCATACTGCATGTGTCTACCTTGACTATCACTAAGGATTTTCTAGTACTTTGTACCTTGTGCCTTAACACCTATGGGGTATTGCATTGGGTAGTATGATGCTAGTGCTCAACTACAACCATGATCTTGTAACTTGACTAATGGTATATATAATAAACACTAAAAGATGCTTTTTAGCAACATGAAAGAAGGGGCCTAGAGCATTGGGCTGTTTTTATGGTGCTCTAGATTCCTCTCCCTAAGGACTTATCTGTAAGTGATAATCCATGACTTACAGTACAACTGTGAGGGCTATATGGCTCTGGCTTTAGCTCAGTATGAGAACCTTTTCTAGCTTGTTAGAGGTTACCTTTATGGCACAAGAGGGGTGTGTTCTGGGTTGGATATGGTGCGGCCTCTGTCCGTCAGTGTATAGGCTGCGCGTTATTGTGCCTATCGGAAGGGGAGCCCTACATTTGCAGGCCACAGAAACCTAGCGGCCCTAACTTGTTAGATGAACCTTTGAAAGGCTTCATAGTGAACCCTGCTGACCTTCCTAGGTAGTGGGTCAAGCGGCTGATCACCTCGGGTGAAAGGGTAAATC